AAAACTGGACAAGGGTCATCGATGTAAAAGACACCGTACATGCGCCCTACATGGATTTTCAGAACGCCTTCGAGAGTATTCCACACCAACGACTCCTGCTCAAGTTAAGAAATGTGACAAACAGGGAGTAAAAAGGCGCATTTCTATTTTTTTCCTCAAATACACAGACTGACTGAAGTCATATTGTGTGGGAATAGATTCAAGTTTAGACTTAAGCAGACGGCGATCCAAGGCATAGACGGTGCACTTCACTGCCAAATCGCTGCATCTGAAACTGGATGCATTGAAGTCACCCATGGGAACAAAAACCAAGTTGACTGCCGATCTAATTTATGTGCTACAGTAAACAAGAATCTGAACCATGTCTCCACCCTGGCGATCCATTCGACTTCCCCTAAATAATTGGTCTCCGGATAATGCTACTTCGCAATCGCTGATAATATTGGACAGACATGTTTCATTTGATAATAAAACATCAGGAGACAGATCGGCTACCTGTATTCTTATTTCATTAAACTTCGAAAATAGACTCTGAGCATTTTACTCGGCAACATGTGGTAGTTCCTAGTTCAGTTTGGCGTGATTTCGCCAATACTACTATGCCGCTGGCATAATGAGCATTGGCTTGTGCCAGAGCGATTCCAGGGTTATATGCCATCGCGTTGAGGCGATGTCGGCGGATCTACCGCCAAAAACTCCTAAAAAACAGACATTTCGACAAAAGATACAGTTTCAATCTTTAGACCCTCATTGAGCCCATGGCTTGGAGAAGTACTTACACTTTTATTCGTGGAGGTGGGATTAAAAATTGTGAAATGTGCTCGGCTTTTTCTCCAGCCTCGCTAACTTCTAGGTTGTCGGTCGCCTTCAGAAGAGGCATGGCGTCTCTCTTTTGTGTGTTCGTTCTTTTGCATAGGTAGAATAACTTCGGATTTGCAACGTCTCAGTTCAGCAGGTACTATTTAAATGTTGTCTCTCCCTGAAGAGAAGCAACTGAGCTAGATTCCTCTGTAATTTGTATGCGTTTATGGATAGACGATTTCCCTGAGCAACAGACTTCCTCCACAACCTCCATTTTGTCCTCATTTTTTTCTTTAATATTCCCAGTCAACAACTAGGGTATATTGCACTGCTCTTTCCATGTAATTGTGCAGTGAATCTGCAATAACTCACTAAATCATTTCAAGTCACCAGCGGAGAAAATACGAACGTCAGCCTCAAGGTCACGTCTTTTTAGTCGATAGGTGGTCCAACCTTAAAGGCTACGCAATTCCGGTACCCTTATAGTTAGCTGGATAGTCTCGCCACCACATGCAAAGTTTTCCGTGTTCGGATCACACTAAATGCGCTCAAAC